AACGTGTCCAATGACTCCCCAATGCAAGCCATTCTCGAGTTGCTCGTAGAGCATGAAAAGAAAATAAAAATGCACGGCTTATCGATTGCGCAACTAATGACCCTCTTAAAGCAGTGTCTTAGTTGTTCAATCTTTAGGTGGTCTGGAAAATATTTTGCACAAATTAGAGGGTTGGCGATGGCGCAGCGTTTAGCACCACGCCTAGCCATCGCTTTCAAATCTAAGGTGGAAGCTCCAGTTCTCGATCACCGACCCTTACTCTGCTGTCGATACATGGACAACTGCTTCATCGTCTGTTCCATACAAGAACAGATGGATGAGTGCTTTGAATTATTAAACCGACAGTCAGAGTATATAAAATTTACAAGAGAAAAACCAACCAAGAACTGGCTTCCATTCTTAAACATACAAATAAAGCTCTCAGTAAGTGGCTATATAACAAAATGGTATCGTTAGCCAAGTAGTAAAAATACACTAGTTCAATACCTCTCCTCTCATCTTTTACACATGAAAAGGGCACTTATCAGAAAGATGTATCGTATGGCTAATAATGCGTGCACAGGAAAAGAGGAAAGGTGGGAATCGCTAAACCTAGCACGAAAAATAGCCATTTATAATGGCTACGAAGTAGAAGCCGCTCGGGTTAGACAAAAATGTAGGGTAGTTTTCCAAAGTAATGTTTCGGACGTAAGTAAGACCAACTTTAAACTACCCTTACTATCAAATGAAATAAGTCAAACCATTAAGACGTGCTTAAGAAAAATGGTTTTAAAAATTATGTAACGATTATTGCCATCCCACCCAATACCCTACGCCGCCAGTAAGTTCGAAACTGTCTCTATGATCGTTTGTGCAGCTCAGAAAACTGTACGATCTGTCCTAACGGGAGAGACGGAGATTGCATAAGTTCAGGTACAATATAGTCGATCTCATGTAACGCATGCGGTGAGAAATACATTGGACATCTAGATGGGAAAGTTAATATTCGTCAAAACACCCCTCTAGGTACGCGTAGGGCACAAAAGCACAACGGCGATGATTTTGAAGTGAATGTGCGGATCCTAGCGCAGGAATCGAAAACATCAACGCGCAAAACTCTTGAAGCGTTTTGGATAAATTTCAAAAATCCAAAGATGAATTGGAATGACGAATGCCTCACTATCACGCGTGACCTGGGGCCCTATTTCAAAGTAATATTTTTGCCCCTGGGTGTGTCTCGCTCGCAACGCCACGCTAGCAATGCGTGGGCCAGTCCCACTCGTAGCATCACGTTGAGTAGCCTTTCTGATCAATGTGGCGTCTATTTAAAAGTTTGATCTTCATTAACATTTTAGCCTTTTTCCACCGAATAATTGGGGTGTTCTTGCATAAAATACGTCCAAGCTCTGAGGAAGGCGAAATCGCCGAAGCATCAGCCATCGAACAGCAGCACCAACAACAACGAGAATGGCATCGAAGACCTATACCAACCTCGCATCAGCTAAAGAAGACCAGTTTATAAGATCATATAAATGATTTTGTTTTTGTTATGGCAAAACCAGTGAAAGGATATGGCAATAAGTTGTAAACTTTACAGTACAGAAGTTGTTAATTGGGTGCCAAAAGTACAGTGAAGAAAAAACTACGCAGTAACATGGAACGACGGTAAAAAGGTAAGTCCCAAATGACTCAAGCGGCGTGTTGTGCGCAACCCACACATAAGTTAACACGCGGATGTAATGCGTTGAGGAATGATGCATTTGTTTGAAAGACCTACCTGAGTGTGTGTTTTACGATTATGGATACGATTTGTGCTCTAATGACTTTCCACTGCTCGGTTGAGAACTGAATATTAGAGTGATAGTAGGTGTGTCCGAGTTGGCGACCTATCAGTCGTAACTCGTCGCTTCGCCCACGATCGCAAAAGCTAAATACGTACGTGGTGACCAGAACATTCAAGACAAGATATTGCAGGCTAATTAGAGAGTCTGTTTCAATAAATATTGCGGTCATCCAACTCGTGTAAAAGATAATGTAATTCTTCTTATATAACGACCAAATAATATGTTTGCACATAGATTTGCTAAACACTTCTAGAATTGAGGAAACTTATGCAATTGGGAAGCGGCGGTTAGCACAGTGGTAGTGATGTCCGTCATCACACGCATGGTGCTAGTTCGCATGTTCTCATGATGTATCTTACTTGTTACTACAAATAGTTGATAAAGAAATAAATTTTAGTCGAGAACTTTCTTAGAATAAAAAAAATAGACGATTGAAAAGATGAGACCGTATTAGTTGTGAAATTAGTGCATTAGAATAGCGCTGAGGAAACCACCTTCTCCGCAGAACACTTCATCTAATACCAAGACCTACTGTCACCAGCAATTTCTGTAAAACACGAAGACACTTCCATTTATATTAAACACTTTTAGATTATTTTCATCTAAAGAAGTTTTCCACAAAGCTTTCAAAATTTCTCACTTCGAATTTCTCCTCGAGGTTAAATTTTTCCACCGTTTCTGGAACCGCAATTTGAGTCCTCTGTTGATAACACGTTTAATTCTCACACAACACACACTTACTGTTCCACTCAACTCTACTCAACTCGACGTAACTTCGTAGATATACATGATGCAAAAAAATAACTTTATTATACACAGTAGTCTTTACGGTTTAGAAGTTGGAGATGTCCCCCAATCGCTATCGACAACGAAGAATTGTTGCCAATCCTTTCCATGCTTGTCATTAAACAAACATGTTAATTATTGATCGAAGATTTCTTCATCTTCATTCTTTGCTCAAAGTTAATGTTATACAAGAGGGTGTGCTTACCATTTCAATACCTGTTCCAAGATGTGGCTGGCTTGCTCTCCTTTTTGCTGAAACGTTGGCGTGCACGTGCAGAGATCGCTTTCCGATTTCGACGCGCTTTTTTGAGTGTCCACAATTGTGGAAATCGCGTGTGGATTTATTGAAAACATCTGTAGAGAATTTTGTACAATGACGTCTTATATTTTCGCTAAAAACTTGTGACGATACCGTGCTTAAAATTTCTGCTCCAATGGCTCGTTTGGAAGTAGATGTCTTTCGGAGTACAAGTTCAGCCACTCGCGGCCTTATTGGCACTACATAATAGGAAGATGTCAAGCTAATGCTACTGAGATGGTGTCGATTCTGAAGTTGTTGCTCAACTTTCCATTGGTTTAGTCAGTGCAAAATAAAGAAACTCGCTCATTTTGCTTATTAATGAGAAAGATTAGTAGCGATATGTTTCACTGCTTCCTCACTTTCGACATGGTGGGAAATTCGTAGAAGAGTAACCAATTGGATGCGCTGTGTAATACAAGCAGCATATTTGAAGCGTCTGTCAAATAGAACGAGTTCATGTAGCGGTCTATTAAACCTTCTTCATTTGACCTAAAACACAGAACTTATATTCCAACATCTCCCTCGTAATTGTGTAGTCTCTAAAAAATCGCTGCGATATTGAGAAGAAAACACTGTTTGAAGGTGGGTTGTTTCAAACTTACTCAACACTTTCACCGTAACCGAGAAGCTCCAGTAGAATTGTATTGAACATGTAGAGTGTATTACACAGTATGAACTTGAAGTTAAGTAGCTAAACAAATTCATTTGTCTTTGTTGAAAATGCAGATTATGACTGAGTTAAGTAGAACACTTACGTATAATCGAAGAGGAATATTCCTATTCATTTGCGTTGTGAGAGGAACATTTCCTATACTTCGTTTATTACACATGTGAATTGTCTTGACGGTCAGTGTGCCAATAAAAATTATTGGAAGTGGTGCACGAAAAATCAGATCAGGAAAGAAGTGGACCACTAAAATTTTATGAGTCGAGGCTGGATCGAATTGTAACTCAAATCGAGGTTTGAATTTGCTTGAGAACGAATAAATAATGATTTTGCATTGGAAAACCCATAATAACAAATGTGGCTGTTCAAATTTACATTGATAAACATTGAATATCTGACAGATTGTTGAAACCTCGAAGGAGACTTTTAAGCACGATAAAATGTTCATTCTAAGGATATTTAGCAATGGCAAGTCTACGTGCATCACCTGAACCTTCCATTGCTCATCAAATGATCCCAGCAAGCGCAACCAGTCCTTCTTCTTCCTGTCTCCCCAAAAGCGTTACATTTTTTCATTAAGCATTATTGCTAAGAATTCCGACTATCAGATCGGTCGCCTCACTGCTGAGTGCTTAAGGTCCACCCCGTGGAAATGGGCACTCAGAGGTTGTTTTCTAACGGTTATCGTTATGCACACATGCAGTGTATAAGATCTTTGGTTCTCGACACTCTGATTCTTTCTACCTGAATAATACAGAATAATCGTAGCAAAACACTCTCGATAATGCGTTTGATCATGGCCTTTATTCTGTTTAGGTAGTGTCTGGAATTTTAAGCTGTGCACTCCTTCCAACGGTTTACCGCCTCATCCTGACTGCGAGGTGTTCTTGGGTGTCGCGCTGCCATGGTACAGCGGAAGGAATCATCCTCCCATCAGGGTTTCACAAGCTAAGAAGTAGTCCAGCGTTTCCGTCAGTATTCCTAGCTAAGATCAAACTAAAAGCGGGATCCATCTCCGTCCTGGTATCAAACTAGTCGAGCATGGTGGCAAATCTCCCTCTGATGCCGCGCCGCGACAGCCTATGATGGTGACGACCTGGGGCAGACTTCCACTAGGCTGACCTCAAGCCCTCACGAAACCGAAATAGCTAGGCCAACATAACTTTGAAGAACTGGAAATTATGCTGGGATCTGCACAAACAGTGAAATCAGGCCATTCAAGTATCCAAGTAAATAGGTACATTAAAGGCTAATGCAGTAGAAAACATGGGTAGAGTCCTATGTGTGAAGCGATGTTAGATGCTCGTTCTATTGAGTATGAGTAAAAGACCATTAAGAAGTTTTCTTGTAAAGACCTCTTCACTGATGTTGGTGTAAAAACTCGTAGTATCATGAACGCAGTGAAAATCTGTGAATATTCGTTCCGATTACTAATGGCTGAGGTTGAAACGACAATGTCAAGGGCAAAGCAAATTTGGTTTGAACATTGACTCTCAGTTTCATATTGAGCCATTAAGGCTTTCTTATGACTTTTCGAGAACGGAGTTGAATACTTCTAGCCTTGTGTTATCAGATTTTCAGTCGCACTCTTCAAACCGGTGACATTTTCTTTCAGATTGGCAAAATTTCGGTTTTGAAATTAATGCATAACTCGGAAAGGATTACTGCGCATTAAGCAGGGTGGCAAAAACAGCTTGTAGAAATGCAGTTTCCAATGTTACATATGCCTACTTAATACCAAAAAATAGGGTTCTGTTACTTCAAGATTCCGAAACTTGCATAATGGCAAGTGGCGTATGGAAAGCCGAAATAGTAGGCTGGTCACAATTCGCGATATATTCATCAAATATTCCAATAAAATGCACTTCAAACCGGATACCCCGTGCGGTCGTTGAGACGATTGTAGCAGAAGAAATGCATGGTTTTCCCTACTGCTGCATATCTGGAAGCAGTGACAGTACGGTCCAGTCGTCAGGAAGCGGTGAGCATTGTCTTAATTGCTGATGTTTTGGCGCATAGTACGCATGCTTCCTGCCTTTTCAGTCCTATCCAATATCATCACTCTGTCTCTTTCATGATTTGTTTTTTTTCTTTCTCCGTGAAGCCTCACAAGCTTGAGAATTTCATGAACACTTGCAGTGACGACGACATCAACGCTATAAAATTCTTTATCCTTATTTTTCCGGAAAAACATTCCTTCAAAACATTTACTGTTCTTCATCAGCCTCTTCGAGCAGTCAATACGACATTGAAGTTGTAGGTCCTCAGTTGTAAGTATACATCGTCACCGTAGCTCCAATAGAATTGGGCGCCCTATAAAGGCCTTGAGATATTCACAGCTCCTCCGTACCCGTCCTAGCCATACAAACGATGCCACAGTGGAGTCCCTTCCGTGGTTAGAAAAACAGTGCGTTTTTTTAAACTCTTTTCGGTAGCTGATATTTATGAGAAACTCGCCGATCTGGACTGAAGGCTAAGTATGCTCCCGGGTAGCCTGCCAATTTTTCGCGGAGCGGACTAGTACCCTATTTATAGGAAGCAACTTCTTATCCCTTTAGCTTTCCAATCATCTTTTTTGCGGAGTTCTCGCCGAATTGATGCTGGTGTTACAAGCCGCATTTTTGCAAGCATATTCACGCACTTATGCGTTAAGAAAGACAGAAGATATGTGCCAATCTGGCAGAGCAGCGATATAACTTTAACCGAAAACCTTACCAAATCGGTATAGCCGACTACTACTGTCATCGTATGGTTTGAGCAGTGTGTGATTGCGCAGACTACTACCAACGATTTCGAAACAGGGCACCAGATGTCTTTCAAACGGCACTGGTAGCAAGTTGAGAACAAAAGCACCGGCCACGATAGCGGAGCACAACCAACCAACGGCAAAGCGAGCTGACCTGGCACGCTGCTCCAGCGGTTTCGACACCGCCAAGTATCTGAAATACAACGTCGTGGAACACTTTTTTTCGTTCGAAAGCATAAATTTAAAAAATTATTCATGCTAACAAATGCAGATTATTAGGTTATTGTCACAATCTTAACTCTCTTTCATTTACTGCCTTTTTCTTTTTTTTATGGCAGGGTATGCTGCGAAATATAACTCGTATATAATGCTGAGATATTTGCAAAACTCCGGTCCGCAGGTGTATGCGGTGGGGAACGAACGCGTTATTGTCCTTTCCGGGGAGTAGTGCACTTCACCACCACACCATCCGGGTCCTTCGTTTTGCCTGTCTCTCAGCTAGTTCTCTTGATCTTTTGCCATCAGCAATCACCCGTCAACGGGATTGACCAGGGGAGTCCAAAACGGCATTAAACCCAGTTAAGCTCAGGCTTAGTTATAATCACAATCTTGTGATGGCTATTCTCTTTACTTTAAAAAAGAAGTAAAGTGAGGAAACCGATGATCATATTAAGAGTAATAGAATGATATAAGTGATGCGTTTCGTGTGATTTTTCCTTGGTGTCAAGTGAATGAAGTATTGTAAACACGACGGTAATGCACAAAGATATGCTCAAAGACCTAAAAAATATGAAAACTAAGAATGAAAATGTCTTATTGGAAGACAAGTTATGTTGAACCATAGACTGAATTGTTCTTCATCTCTGTTGTAATCGTGAAACATCATCCAAGACAGTTGTGATTTAGGCTTAGGCTTAGCCTTGGCCTTAGGCATAGAGCGTTTGGTGTTCATTTGTTCGCAGTTATGGGTGAATTATGCACATCTTTTTAACAAACCATGTTTCTGTTCTTACAAACAACTCTGCTACCAATTTTACGACACCAGAAGATGGAAAGCCTAGCTGACCCATTACCATTGGTTTTCCTTCCCTTTTTACCCTTTAATTTTCATTCATTTCTCTCACAAATCAAAGGACAACTAATAACTGGTAAACAATTGAGCGTTATATACCTCATACAGTAGAGAACGGTGGCTGTTTTATATGAGCCTTAATAATTTTTCGATAAATAGAAGAATTTTTGAGCTGAGAATATAACATGCTTATAAGAGTGAACGTGCTTTATCGCTCTAGGGTGATGTATCAAGTATCCGAAAGCGTCATTTCCACCGTAAGGCAAGTGAAGACTCAATTTTTTAGAGAAAATCTTTTCCTGTTTTGATATTTGGCACCTTAACAAATAGGTTTAAACTTCTATAATTTCAATCGGAGAACTAGAATCACTCTTGTGTTATTCTTAAGAAAATATAAAAGGTGCGCGTGAACACTAAGTAAAGCGCTCTACTTCTTGTGGGACTATTGTTATTCTATCTTTTCTCCTCATCCTCCTCCATTTCTTCCTTTCGTTCTTTTCTATTTATATTTTATTGTTCCTTCTTATCTATCTCGACTTATCGTTGTTCACCGTTTCGGAATAATTTTACATGTCGAAAGTTGAGTTTTATAGCGTAGAACGATGTCAGCCAATGACGAATTCAACGTCGCTTTCAACCAATAGTGATGTTTAAGAAGATGTTGATGTAGAGGATAATATGAAATCCTATCTCTCCTTTGCTGAAAGGTGCAAACAGAGCGAATCAGAAAAAGATAACGGAGTTTTAACGATAAAATCGATGATGAGAGGTCTAATAATGCAGTGCTTCACACTCACTGGGTCATCGAAGGCAGTTAATGCGGTATGGATCCACAATTTGGGAACCCCAGTTAGAGAAAGCTGTTCGTGTATACAGACCATCAGAATGTTATTATTCCTATGGGTGCTATTCCAATTGGTCACTCACACATGCTTGAAAGCAGAAAATATTAATAGTAAGCGCGAGCTGATCACCGTGCTGAGTCACTCAAAGATGGACGTCTGCTTTTTAGTTTAGGCGAGGAAGTGATTCTACGCCATTAATACTCATTCCTTTGAGGAAAGCAGTACCAGTGGGCAAAGGACATGGAGATGGGTAAGAAGTTTTGAGGCAAAATGAAAACATATAATTACAACACACCATCATTCTCACGAAGAAGCTACAAATGTGACTAAGGTACAAAGTTTTACGCAGCTTAGCCCTAGAAGGAGTTGTAGATAACATTGTTGTAGAGGCTGCTTCAATGCTAGTCATAAAAAGCGTGTGACTCTAAACAGAGGCTGGTTTGAAGGGAAGAATTTCATGCAGGAAGAAATTTTTAATTCCGGGTAAGAACTTCGAAAAGTGTGTGAAGAAGGTTAATTCTATATAAGATATGCAGATTGTTTGCATAAACTATAAATGGAAGACAAGTGTGAAATAAGTGTTTTGAAGCACGACATTCACAAAATGAGTAAAAGATTGCGGTAATAACATTTGATAGTGCCCAAAGACAAACTGTTTTGATACAAAATGGTGAAAATACACTGTGAATATCAGGCCGATCTGGTGAAGTATCTTCAATTATTTTTCATTTTATTACACTGGATATTTGAACGGCCCGTCCTCACTAGTTGTGCGAGCCCCAACATGATCACCATTTTTCGGAGATTTGCTGGCTAAAACACTGTGGTTTATTGGAATTCCGACGATAGCCTGGCCAAAGTCTGCCCCAGGTCGTCACCACGACAAGTAGTCGCAGCTCTTGTGGATTAGAGGGAGATTCGCCACCGTGCGCTTTTGATACCACGGCGGTGATGGATCCAGGTATTGGTTTACTCTTAGCTAGGCCTCCTAATGGAAACGCCGAACCCGTTCTCAGTTTGGGAGACCCAGCCAGAGTGCCTTCGCTGTACATCGCAGTGTGACACCAAGGAACACCTCCTAGCCACGATGAGGCGGTAAACCGTTGGGAGGTTCATTTTATTATAGCGAGAATATGTCTCTCAGCGTCGAATTTCAGTGTCCAAATAAAGTATTTTTTTGCGGCTTTTCACTAGAGACGTTCTCTGTAATGCTGCTATGAATTGGTACAAGACTTCTTTAGGAGTATAGTACCACTTACTCGATGTATCAGTAGGCCACAGCGAGTTATTGTAAAGGCTAGATATGCATTCAATCACCTCCAATGATGCTTAATGAAGTCGAATGCATGGCGCATCCATCAGAGGTTGATCAACGCCAAAAACTTTATACCTTTTTATCGACACAATAGAAGAAATAGTGCAAAAAGCTGTCGGGGCAGAAATAAAGCACTAAATAAAGTGCACTGAATTCAATGCACCTCGGCCAGTTTCTCCACTCCCGCGTGAATGCCATTACCCACAATGCGTCTCAGACGATACATGTTAAAAATGAAGACGCTTAAAGAAGACGTTTCTATATAAATTAACGTATTATTTACTGCCTACTCTTTTTAACGGCAGAGTATACATTGTGGAATATAACTTCAATGATGCTGAGATATTTGGAAAACTCCGGACCGCAGGTGTATGGGGTGGGGAACGAACGCGCTATTGTCCTTACCGGGGAGTAGCGCACTTCACCACCACACCATCCGGGTCCTTCGCTTTGCCTGTCTCTCAGCTAGTTCTATCGATCTTTTCTACCTAGAAATAGCTGAGAGACAGGCAAAGCGAAGGACCCGGTTGGTGTGGTGGTGAAGTGCGCTACTCCCCGGTAAGGACAATAGCGCGTTCGTTCCCCACTCCATACACCTGCGGTCCGGAGTTTTCCAAATATCTCAGCATCATTGAAGTTTTTATATATTTAAGCACTAAGAGTGTATTTAGATCCTAAGTAGTTCTAGCACTGTTTAGCGGTTGAAACTTTTTGAAGTAAGGGTTGCCGAATTTTTTTGGTGCCTTACTTACGCAAACTTAGTTAACTTAGGTGACCTGTAAGCTGTTTATTTCAGCCCTACGTTCCTTAAAGCTTTTGGTAGCGTGGTTCTTACTGGATACGTTATGCGTCGCGCCACTTGAGTACAACGAAGAAACAGACGCTGTCATTGCACAGCACAGTGCTAACTGGAACTCTTTAGAAGCTGCGGAGCAGTGAAAAATGTTGACGTGAAGTAAAAACAAGATTGCAGTCGTGCTGCGAACAACAGAAGGATAAATAGAATTTTCGAAAACAGAATTAACCAAAATCTTTACGGCAATGTTAAAATCTTTAAATAAGTTGGTCCATCTTTTCAATGGATAAGCGAATCTAGGCTTGAGATTTTTCAGCCACTGTCTGCAAAAGCCAAGGTGAATCTATAGGTGCACAGCGTTGAAGACGATTGTAGTCAGACAAAATGTTTTTTTATGAATGAAGTCTATAACTACTCTAAAAAGTGCAGTCAACTAGTCAGGTCGATTCCACAAAGCTGGTGAATGTCAAAAATTGCCAAGAAATCACTACTTCCGAAAGAGATTCCAGTTAGGAATAATTTTAAGAAAAACCTGTTTTGGTTTTAGGTGCGAGTAAAAGAGTCGAATTCCACTCAGATTAGTCAATTGGAAAAAGAAACGACTTATTAGTACTATTATATAGAACTGGGTCCCTGCCCATGGAGTGCCAGGTGTTTATTTCGATGCCTTATCGAGTGGTCAGTGGCCCTCTAACGGCATTGAATGAAATCCACTGAATTTTCTAGCTTGCTGAGCGGGAACCAGAGAATGTTAATTTAGAACATCTGAGCCCACCGAATAATTGTCGGAAATTTGTAGCAACTTGCGCTGTAGCGTAGAATCAGCCTGCATTGAAATAACAGGCTTACATCAAAACCGCTGGAGGCTATTTCGATGAATTCATGCAAATCTTTGTATTCTGAATTTCAACAGTAATAAATATCAAACCGTAATATGCGAAAAAATTAGTGTGCCAAGTAAAGTTCGTACTTTCGGCTGCAAGCTATTTATAGAATTGGTTGCAACTGTGTTGCCAAGTGGAAAGAAGCATTGACCTCATCGTTACCTCCTTAGAGGTCATCTATTTGTGGTTCACAATAATGGACCAAACTTGGGCTATTTTCGATTTTCTCCAATTAATTAGCAAAACGTAAATGGGCTTGTGATATAATAAGAAGAACAGACGACAGATGGACGAGAAGAACTGCACAGTGGATTGGACGAAGATATAAACGTCTTCTAGTGGACTCCCTACACGTTAGGTGGACGCGTTCTTAACTAAAGTCAATCAGCAGTGCTCGCAGCTCCAGCTGTTGTCCAGAGGTCACGGTATGAGATTCGGATCAGTCACCATGCTTGGATCAAATCACCACCACCACGGCTGACGAGGCAAAGAAACGAGTGGAAAATGTGCTGGGGTCCGCACAACTCATGATGACGGGCCTTCCAAGTATCCAAGTGACCATTAATTTGTGCTTTTTGTTATTTTGGTTTCGAATTTGAATGCAATAGAAAGTTTACGGAGTTGCTATGCAAATATGCGCAATTTCCACTCGATTGAAGAAATACCCACCTTTCAAGTGTGATGGCAAAAACCTGCCATATTGTACATGAAACGCAAAATGAGGCGAAGGGTTGAAGTAGAAACAGAATATAAGCCATGATGCCATAGACGGGTATCATTCCATATAACAGTGATGGTATACCATATGTCGCTAAAAAAGGGCAATCAAAGTTACTGCATTGAAATTTTAGTGCTTAATTTTTATAATAAATGAATAGACGATAAAGCAAGAAATTAAATCAGTCAGCATATAACAATATGGAGACCTATAAAAAAACTGTCAGTTTTTAGGTTGATCACTAAGATTTATGTAGACGAATATGTCACATAGAGCAGAGTCTACTATCCGTCAATTCAAATATGAAGTGTTCACCAAGGCAAGCCAGCAGGTATAAACTGTCCCATATGCAAATCATTCCTAGATGGATAGCCAAACGCTTGGAAAATATATGAGAACTGTAAATCTGAAAATGAATTTCAAATTTATCTTTGAAAAAAAAGCGACACAAGGCGTAACGACGAGATCCTTCCATACCTGCTTTAACAGAAAAAGGCTGCCGGCGAGACCTAACGTCACCAACACTAAAGTCAGGACTCCATTGTAACGAAAGCTGTAACTATCACGTTAACAAATGTTATGTTAACAGCATATTGTACTAAGGTTGAGTTTAATATTTGTTAGCCACCTAAAACGTTTGTACTCCTGAAAAGTATTTCTCATTTGTACTGCAATATTCTGTTCAGAGCTGGCGTAGTACATTTCAATGTCAAAACACCAGTCAATTAATGGAAACTGCGGCAGCGAAGTGTTTTCCATTTCTGGAAAAGAACAACTTGTTAACAAAATGCTAGAACCAATCCGTCACTGTTAATCAGTCACAAATATGAAGCGAAGAAAAAGTGTCACTGGTTAAAGTTCCCAGGATCGACTTTCTATTAACCTCGGCATTGGAATGTGAATGCGTCGTTTTCTCTCTCAGCAGTCAACCGTATGCGACGTTGATCAGTGCCTCTTCCTCAGTGGAGAAGACACGAAAAGAAAAAGCTCTGAAGAAAGTGATACTGTCGAAACATCAGCCACAGTTGTGCTGTATGTGCGTTATTGTATGGAAGTAAACGCATGCTGCTTAACAGCCTCACGATTGCTGAGACAGAAAATGACGAATTTTCCATTGGTTAGTTCAAAGCACTTCGAACGCATGCACATATGCATATATTCGTGAAAATGATTACTATCACATTTAAAAAGGAAATGCTTTGTTATGTGAGTAAGCTGTAGAGGAAATTTTGCTAGCTTCAATGTATTTATTTGCCTCCATAGAATATCTGATAGACAAGTAAGCGTCGTGAATTCTATGCAATGCAACAACATTGCATTGAAAGGAAATCATTTAGCTACACATGAAAATAGCAGAAACATTTTAAAGTCAACCCGATACTTGATTACAGGCTCACTATTATGCTCGAGCGTATACATGAATGCGTGTGAGCCGTCGCACGTCTCTCTTGTAACCATTAATCATTGAAAGCTCGTGGGCGTATTTAGATGTACAAGACCGCTGACGCAGTAGCTGAGCTACTGAACTACAAATTAGCACGACATTTTTAAGTGAGCTCTTTACATTCATTAACAAAACCTTTCAGTGTTGATCGAATAGTACTCGACAGAATTTACTGTGATGTAGAATTTAAAATCCGTCGTCCACGAACCAACATAGGCGAAAATAACATTAGAACGTATTGAGGTCGAGAGATTTCGCTTTTTCGTAACTTCATGAAGAAGTGCTAAGCTTTTAGTGGGTCATCACTATCACTGAACTTGCTTATGCCACTACAACTGAGTTGGGTTGAATCGTCCTCGTTCGAATGGGAAATGTCAATTTTCCCATCTTATAAAAAAGATGATGCACAACCAAATCCTGGAAAAAAGTGGTCAACGAAGACAAGAAAGGTGTTAAAAATCTGGATTTCATTTACGTTGTCTAGCAGAACGTCACCGAAATTTCTTTTTCTTTTCATAAGAGCGATGGCGTAACGAAGTGCCATATTGCATCACTAACGAACGGCAATGTAGGCAATAAAGTTCAGGGCTATGTTTTAGGAACCGTAAAAGATTTCGGTACTTCTAAAAATGCCATGGGTGAGCCAGGAATAGAACAGCAATTCATGGGTAAGAATTACCAGAAAATTACGTCCTCTCACTGTGTTGTTTTAGATTTGTGAGTAGATTATTGAGAGAAGAACAGTAATCGTCCTGTAAACCAAAGTCGTGAAGAGCCCTATCTGCTGAAAAAGAAGCCTATTTAGGCGGACAAAGTGCCCGCTGAATTTGGGTAATCGCAAAAACTCAAAGGTTTTGCTCTAACTTTTATTTTCTGTACAATTTCTTTTCCATGGCAACCTGCGATGTAAAATAAAGTCACCTGAGATATGAGGAGAACTCGAAACCTCAGGCGCGCTTTGAACCACCAATTACCCTTTCCGGGGCTCAAGTGCTAACCACCACACTAAATGATGCCCTTGCTTTGCATTTCTCTCAGCTAAGATTTGCTCTAGCGGTGCTATCGGCAATTACCCGTCAATGGTTCTGATAGTTTTCGACTATGGTCCTAAAAATAGAGAAACTAGGCAAGTGCAGAAGCTGGACTGAAACTAACATCACGATCAATACCCATGCCGGGTGATAAACAACATCAGACATTGAGCACTTACTGTGACAACTACTATGAGCAAGCAAGTGAATGAAATTAATCGAGGCTGTCTTATAACTGTATATATGTTCTTACGAACTGCTCTTTTTCAGCCGACACGAGGTTGGTATAAATGTTCCCATTGCTGCTGTTGTCTTTGTTCAATGGGCGACGTTTCAGCGATTTCGCCATCCTCACAGCCTTGTCCTTGGACCACCCGTGTGTTGTGCACGGTGAATGATACATCCAGCTCTCCAACCGTCGTATAGCTGATAGTAGATGGCCACTGTCAACCCTGTGTTGTGACAACCCTAGTTTTTCTGTTACATTAATTTGCTCCGGGAGTTGACAATCAACCCAGAACGTGTGTGTCCATACATGTATGTATGTAGGTATGTACGTATGTTTGTATGTATGTGTGTATGCATGTGGGTATGTATGTATGTATGTATGTATGTATGTATGTATGTATGTATGTATGTATGTATATGTGTATGTATGTATGTATGTATGTATGCTTGTGGGTATGTATGTATGTTTGTATGTATGTATGTATGTGTGTATGCATGTATGTATTTATGTATATGTGCGTGTGTGTGTATGCATGTGTAAACTCATCAACAAAGCAAGTTGCTAAAGCTTTCAAACTTCGGACTGCAAACTTAATTTTCACCAGCGAGGTTTCGCCATTAAACAATGACAATGACGAACAGCATGAACAGAAATGAACCGGCAATACAGATCACGGATAAAATCTAGTAAAATGGTGACTAACATAAGTGCATCCGTAGTTGCGTTTAGATATTCCATTAACTGGTTGACATTTTCGGGGTTATTTTTCGTCATTATAGAATAATGTTGTGTGTACAACCCTATCCGCGGCAAAATATAGGCTCGAACGCCGAGAAGGAAGTGCACATGGCTACATTAATAGCTTCAGAAGGATCTTGTTTTGGTGATGACATATCTCTAACTGGGCTGGCAATTAGTAAGTTGTTCAGTGTGTATCTCTTCTCCATATCCCATTTCAGCAACTGTCGTCACGATTAGCTGTTTTTCAGACTAGCTCTTCCACCATTGTAACTCTGCACTTGAAAGTGAAAATAAAAACGCGCACACGTAAAGACAACGTATTTTTGAAAGAATGTTGATGAGATGGTTATGAATAGCGAATGACTCTGATGTGCGTTCCTATTCAATGTTACCAGTATGAGCGATTGTTTCTACCATAATACGATTTCTCACCAATGCAGCATAACACACTTGCGAGTAATGCAAGGAAACTGAAGAATTGACAGGCTTGATTAAACACTGCCATTATTATGTATTCTTTCTTTGATGAGCTTACACAAGGTTGATAATGATATTTATTTTCGGCTAACGTTTCGACGTCTTCGTCTTTCTCAGAGCCGATGATCCGAGTCGATGGTCCACGCTTGTTATTCGTCTCGACGTGGCAGCTTCGCCTTCGTGTCGAGTCAGGTCTTCTTCAATGAGCCATCTCCTTGAATGAGGCATCCTCACTCAATGATGCCCTTTCATGCAGGTTGCTGATGGTGGATAGCTGTGATTGTCCGTTGATAGCGTGTAAGCTCATCAAAGAAAGAATACATATTGATTATTGATGCTGAGGTTCAAGGAAAGTAGGTTTCGAAATATTGCCATTAATTTTTCACCTCATCCAAATTCTAATTACGATAATCTTTCGGATGTGTAATCATTCATATGCGTTAATATAATTTCGAGATTTAAGTCAGATACAGCTGCCTACTAGCTAGTTATTTTATATCTCATCTTTCTAAAGCTGACAATTATGTCTGAACACAAGAGTTCGACCTTGTCTAGAGCAGAAATGAATGAGTTGAAACTCATGTGATCTAGAACCAGGAATTCACACTTTGGTTGGTTGTAATGAGAAAACAATATGGAAAGCATCTCAAATACATGCCGTGCGAGTCGATTTATTAAAATAAAACATTGCTGCTGCCAATGAACACTTTTCCTTCATTGCTGTCAATAGCTTACCATCTCGCTTCGGCGGAAAGGTTATTCTAGGTGTCAAAGTAACGTACATGGGGCTCATTCCTCACAAACACACTCTCACTGAGAGGGCTTCCCAAAATTTAATTATGAACCTCAGAATAAGCCAGTACAAGTGTTCGTTGTCCTCACATCATTGGAAAAATCTAATCACAATTTGGCAAATCTCCTGATAAATATGAGATGTCTGGTGCATGAACTAGGTTGTTTAGAAATAAATGAGCGTTTTTAAGTAAATTATTAAAACGGCTATAGCTTACTTTAAACATAACTTTACTAACCAAAGTAAAAATTGCTTAAATGTACATAATTTTATGACAAAGACAAGTTTATTTATTCCAGTTGCATAAAATTCTGCAGTTCTGGAAGCGATGAACTCGTTGAAGGCATTTTTTGCGTTATCATGGTTGGTGAAACATTTCTCGCGCAGAAAGTTGTCAGCGTGCTTGAAGAAGTGGTATCGGCAGGCAGTATGCTGGAGGCCTGTTGAATAAGGCGGATAAGGCAAAGTTTCGTAACTCAACTCGTTCAACTTCTGCAGCGCTGGTTCTGCAGCGTGAGGCCAGACGTTGTCGAGGTGAAGATTGGTCCTTTTCTGTTGACTAATGCCGATCGTAGTTCATGAAGTTTACGGTGCAATTCGTCGATTTGTTGGCAACACTTTTCTGCCGCAATTCTTTTACCCGATTTCAAAAAGCTGTGATGAATTAGCCTGGCTGAAAACTACCAAGGAGCCACAATAACCTTTCTTGGTAGAAATTAGACTTTGGGATGTGCTGTGGAGACCGTTCGTGATCTAACCACTGAGCTAACATCGCCTGTCGTCGTTTTCTCGTTGCTTTTTACAACTCTATCAAGAAAAGAGTCGTTTTTGTTGAGCAGAATAAAATCAGACGACATTTCGAAAAGTAAATTCTTTGATTATCGTTTAATTCGTTTGGCACCCACTTGTCGAGCTTTTTTTCTCATGCGATTCAAGTGAGTGAAATTGTCTCTGTACTTACGCCAAACTGTTTTGTAAGCTAGTGAATTCAATTCCTCGTCATGAAATTCATTGGTACGTCCTCTGCCTTCCTTATCTTCGAGG